AAACAGATCATAACTGCTCATCATCATCCTCAGCCTCCCACAAGCCAACGGCTTTAATCACGCAAGCCGAACCGGCCACGATAACACCAGCAAAAACAGGCGGTACAAACATATCCAACACCGACCGCTTGAAAAACCGGCCGGGAAAGCAGAAAATCTCGGACGGAATATCTAACGGCAGCCTGACGGAGCCCGGCTCACGGCACGCCTGGGATGACAGCGAGGCCGGCCGGACGGTGGAGTACACGAAGGCAACCTCCGGCGTGAACGACGCCACGGCCACCGTCACCGTCAGGACGGCAGTCCAGGCCGCGGCGTAGGCCAGCAGGGGCCACCGGAGGCGGGGCAGGCGGCGGAGCAGTGGGCCGCAGAAACTGAAGCGCATTTTCGCGGGGAAGTTTGAGGGCGCTGGCCACAGGTTAAGGCCTAAGGGATCTGTGGTTTTTAATTCTATGTTTTTTTGGGTTTTTTTAATGGAAAATGGAAAGGTTAATAATTGGTTTGAGAGGTTTTGATGAACCTAATTTTAGCTAAGTTTGGTGAAGAGAGAATATTAATGGAGGATTGGTTGAATTGGTTAAGTATGTGAGCGATGAGAATGGCGAGAGTTGACTGGCCGTAATAGAAGGGCCCAAACCCCGTCTAAAATATGGGTTTGGAAGTTGGAACTCACGGATCACTAGGCTTTTCGGGCCGATCAAAGGGTCGAACTCAAAACAACCGGTGGGTTAGCCCATGGTCAATAAGATGGTCAGAGTCTGAAACCGACATGTCGGTGGACCAACACGGCCCGTTGGCGTTTATATGTATTGTTTTCAATATTTTGGAATATTTTGTGAACGCGAATATTTCGATAAAATTTCACGCGATCAATTATTGAGGTGCCCAATACCGCTTCAATTAAAGCACCAACTAGACAATGACCCAACATAGCTGCACGAGCCCATGTACTTTATTTGGAGGCGACACTCAAATCACAAAATTGCTAGAGGAGTTCCACTTAATTGGGGACAGAACTAATTTGGTTTTTCATACAAGACATTAAGGGTGTGCTTGGATACATATATATTTCGCTCAACGATTTTTTTTGTTAAAGATTTAAAAAAAAAAATTGTATGATTAGTTGTTAGTGATATTTTGAGTTTGTATTAAAATAGTATTTAAATAAAATAATTAAAGTTGATTTTGATATACAAGTAGGAGATAGATGATGAGAAGAGATGATAAATTAAAATTATGTGAGTAGATAAATAGTAAATTAATGTTGATCCGATGTGTAAGAATGGTTGATTGGTATCACTTAGTTATGTCGATAATATTGAAAATAGTATGGTTGAGTTAAAGTTGAGTTGAATTTCGAGTATGAGTTGAGTTTATTTATAACAAACACATCCTAAGGAGGCTGGAAGACATTCACAATTCACAAATGATTTATTCACAAGAGAACAATTCACATAGGATTAGTGCACTCACGAAACAAAGCAGACAAAGATAGGGGTGAACAAAACGAGCCGAAACAAAAAAATCAAACCGACAGTTCAATTTGGTGCGACTTTTAATGTAAAAAGCTGTCGGTTTGGTTTCGGTTTGGTTATTTGTACATTGCGGTGTGGTGCGGTTATAGTTTTTCGTAAGTTCAGTTTTGTTCAGTTCGGTGCGGTTTTGCACCGAATCGCACCAAACTGAATAGAATTTATAGAAAAATCAAAACAAAACCAAAAATCGATCCAAACCGTTCATTTCAGTGCGGTTCGATTATTTTAGTGTAAAAAAAATTGATTCGGTTTCAGCTCGTTTTTCTAAGTTGCTATGCAGTTCAATTATTCATTTAGTTTTGCGAATCAATATTTTTTTTTTTTTTTTTGCGGGTCGGTGCGATTTTTTACCGAACAGCACCGTTGCTCACCCCTAGACAAGAGCCGAGAGAACATCAAGGAGAGAGACAGATAGACAAAAGAACACACGCGGAGGGAAGTCACACCTGCACCGCAAGGTAATAATTATATTCTTTTTTTTTCTCTTTTATTTAATTATTATTAGTATGGTAGGCTAGGATTTTTATCCAATTTGAAGGGATATTTGATCACTAATTTCAATTTGACTATGAACTGGATGATATTTTTCTTTTTTTGATTAATTAAGATGTCGTATTTATTTTGCTGATGAACTAATTCATTTATTTGTGTATAATATTTATAAATTATGGGTGTTTTATTTAGTTAGACCAAATACGTTAAATATTCATAGTTTATTTGCTAAATATGAGATTTTAATCTATAATTGTTATTATTCTTCTTTTCGTTGATAGTAAACTAGGGATCGTGCATCCCTAGAGTAGTGTCAACATAAGTTAAACGGTCCAAACGTGCACGTTCGTTCCTAGAAATTAGCGTTGCTAGTGCATCAAATCTGAAAAACTTATTCTGGGTTGTCCACTAATTAGGTTTATCTAAAGAACTTATTTCGATTAAATATTGGATAAGAGAAAATTCTATTAACAAAGCTTGTTGTTAGTTAGGGTTAGTAATTCGTTAACAATTTAGGAAAGGCGTTGGAACTAGTTAATGATAGATTTAAATTTTGTGATAACTGAATTTCTCTAATTTTATTTGATTTTTATTTGATTTTGTCATTTTTATTTTTAGTTTTATAAAAACAATCTCCCGTTTTTACTACATTCTTATTTTCAGTTCAATTAATACAAAATTGTAACAATTTAGTTCTTACTTCTCGTGAGACCGATTCTTTCTCACCACCACTACTAGTTAGTAGAGCTTTGATGAAACATTATAAACGTAAGTTTCCTCTTTCATTAGGACACTACAAATTATATTGTGAAAACTGAATACACTAGAAATGAATGATTCACAATCCCCATTTCACTAGCACAAACAATTTATATGGTATGTTTGCATACAAAAATGAAAAAATTTCCAAAAAATTCCGACATTTCAACACAACTATTTTTTTTTTTTTTTAATTCAACTTTAACTCAACCTCACAATCATCAATATGATTAAATAATCAATCAATCATTCATACAATAACTATCAACCTTTTCACTATTCATTCCTAAAAAAATAAATATGCATACTTTTACTATTAAATAAAAGCAAAATTGCATCAAAATACACCACCTTTCAATTTTTTGCAATTTAATCACCACCTTTCAAAGTTTGCAACTAAGTACACAAGCTTTATGCCTTTGGCAAATCGAAGCATATTCGACGGAAACCTGCGCCTGCTTTCTTACGTGGCATCGTCGGAAACTTACCTGGAAAACAGAAACGGACGTGGCAGATAAAAAATAACAAACAAAAAAAAAAAATAAAATGCCACACAACAGTCCACGTGGGATAATTAGTGG